ATGGAAAATTATCCGTGAATTACACTAACAGATTTTATTCAGTCTGTGTCTTTTAAAATTAGTTATGTCAGTATTCCTCATTCTGAGTATTTTACTTAAATATGTTTTAGTGGTTAGGGATCAAGGTGGTTAGGTCTTACAATCTATTTAAGAAATCAACATACCCCAGCAAATTACAACACATAGTGTCGAATTGATTTATTGTAAGGGCGTTATAATTCTATGTTGTAAGGTCAATGTGTCTTATATGTCAAATTACTGGGGATCCACCGGTAAGATTGTATGGAGGTCCTAATTATTTGAATATAGGAGTTTTCCTATAATGAACAAATTCGATTAATCGACTTGGTCACAATTTACTGTTGTGTTATTCACGTTCGACGTTACACATTCTTTCCGCTCCACGGCCATTGTTAAGCCAACAATGAAATTACTGACAAAGAAAATCTTAAATTTTGTTATGAGATCCACCTTCATAAATGTAAAGCCTATTTTGTACTTTTGACTTCATGCTTGTTAGAAAAATTAGGATTTATTAGTTACTTTGTTTTGTTAATATGTTTTTCATAAAACACTAGATTACGCTAACCGCTAATGGAGGATCGAAGATCGATCTATTTTGTATAAGTACTAAATCAGAAGGTTTAAACTCTCGCTAAAAGTCACATAAACTATTATTTAGTCCTTTGTTTGCCGTTATGTTTTGTCTAACGATAACCATAATAAATCTATATATTACCGCTATACATATTTACATCAATCCTTTGACATGGTGATAGACACGAATGACGCAGTAACGTGCACACACATGCACACACGTATTGCACACTGTCATAAAGCTGCATTGAACATAGTACTTTATATACGTACAATCAGCTAAGAGAGAATTATTCATTCAATCATTAGATGCATCCGAGAGCGATAGCCTCGCTAACTCACTTTATCCTGTTGCATCTAACAACTGGTTGGTACTTGGTAGCAAATATATATATTTGTTTGTGTTTATTTCATACAGATTGTTATGGTACACATATACGTTATCTAAAACATCGTGGAATATAACGATATATTCATACAGTTATGAGACTTACTTGTTTTGTGTAGGTAGGTACTAAATGCGGGTAAACATGTACTTTTACATTTTGTACTTTGCCACTTTTGTAGCATAAATAAGTGTGTGTGTACACGTGTGATTACACGTTTGTTTAAGTTGATGTAATTACATTAATGACATTCTTAAACATATTACTTACGTACAAGAATAGTATTCTATCAAAAGCTAATTATTGTAATAAAATATATCGAAGGTTTCCAACTTTTTAAATCTCTAACAGCATGTTTAAGGATAGGCACGTCCTGCAAGAAATGAGATCTTAATGCCATTTGTAAAGGTCACGCAGTTTCTAGTATTAATGTTGCATAATTTTCCTCAAGAACTGGAACGCTATTTTACATTAGACCAACTTCCATTACCCATACTATACAGTCACAACTTTATAGAATTCTAGAACCGATACAATAGCTTGTGCTAGTCCCACAATTTTGTCATAAGTAGGACATTCAAGCCACCAAGTTCGGAAAGTTTTTTTTATACTTTACTAGCTTTTACCCGCGGCTTCGCTCGCGTCAAAAAAGGATAAATTAAATAGTAGCCTATGTGACATATACCAATACACACAGCGCCATCTATACCAATAATTGCGTTTTCCCTCGAGAATATCAATTTTTCGGGATAAAAAGTACCCTATTATTTAATCCAGACTTCTAACTTCACGGCTGCAAAAATTCAAAACAATCGGTTTAGTAGATACGGCGTGAAAGTGGAACAAACAAACAAACTCACTTTCCGATTTATAATATTAGTAAGGATAGGTCGACGTTTGACCACCATCTCGCCTGATGGTAAGCGATGATGTGGCCGACGATGGAGCACGGCCTACCTATGAGCAACCTGTTAACTCGGGACTTGAAGACACCCAAGTCATATTTGTTTCTTTTTATTTACTGAACAGGAAACATAATACATTAATTTATGAACGTTACGTTTAAAGCGCCTATCTTCCGTAATTAAAGAGAAACAAACATAACCTCACGCCTGTCTCCCAGGGGTGTATGCAGAGACTATGGAACGCCAATTGCTTCGATTATTACATACCTTTTTCACTTCATCAACTTTCATCAGTCTTTTTATACATGCTCGTTACAATTGTAGGAAGATTAGGAATTTTTACGAAACTAGCAAACCCGGCGAACTCCGTTTCGCCACTAGATGGCTTCGTTTTATGTAACATTTCGTTCGGTGATTAAAAGTGAATTTTCTTTGCTATAAACCTCACTCATGGAGCCCAAGACCTTTCCAACGAATGCAAAACCGTGGAAATCGGTTCGTGCGTTCTGGAGTTATAGCGTCAGAAAGGAAAACACGACTTTTTTATATAGGTAGTAGAGATAATCTGTCTATAAGATTTTCGAGAAATCCTCACTAAAGAGTATTAGGATACTTTCAAGTGTGTACTTATACTTACTTAGTTTATGTATACCAAACTAGGGGTTGGTATATAAATTTAGAAACAATATCAAAACAGGCAATCGATTCCAATCTTGAGTTTTTAAATCAAATACCATCATCTCCCCGTCATCATTTTTACCCTGACTTAATACCTTAAACATTAAGGTGTTTGGGGACGGACCTATAAGGAAGAGAGTCTTTAAGACTGACAACTCTTGTGGTGCTACGGGTGTTCAATGGCGCATGAATTGCGTGCCATCAGTTGCTCCATCTGCTCGTTTACCGACCTACTAAAACATGCACAAATTGATAAAATATCTACGGTTCAAAATAATACACTTCCTTTAGTCTGGTAGAAATACTAATGTAAGCTTTTTGTTACAGTCATAGTTCTAAGTCTACACATTCTGGAAGTAATTCCAGTGGCAGCAGTGGCTATGGCGGGAAACCCTCCACATCTGGAAGCAGGTCAGTGTCAAACATTGGAAAATATTACGTAACACTTATTTATTAATGGAACCTGTGCATTTATTTGTCGATTCGATATGTACGTCGCACACGACCGCGTCATTCAACACAATTAAGTAATTAACGCAATTTTAAATACCTCTAGGTCGTATAAATACTTGTTCGTTCAAGCTAAGGACTGGTATATTTACTCATAAGACATATCGATTTGTTAAACAGTTAAAAACTTGGTCTTTTTCGATATAATAACTTACGATCCCATGAGCCTCCAGACCTCTATGGATAAAACATATATGTACTAGCTTCTGCCCGCGACTTCGTATGCGCAATCCCGTTTTCTCCGTAGGATTTTCAGGATTTTTTCTGTCTTAAGAACCTTCTCTTAATAATAACTAATACAACAAAAAAAAAATAGTGACATCGGTCCACCCATTCACGCTTGATGCTGTGACCAAGGGAAAAAGGGATTCATTTTTATATATACAAATAGAATACCTATGTATATGCTAGGTTCCTATTATTAATGTGTACAGTGAATATAAGTATGTCGCAGTCATCTGGTTTAATCTGTTGTTTAATTGAATGACTAGCGCATTAATTGAATAACTAGATTTCATTCAATAACTAGTAGCGTAGACTGACGCTCAATTCTTAGGCATATTGTAGAGAATAAGAAGATGAGTACTCCGAGATAAGTTCTGTCCGCAGATGTTTTTGCCAGAAACTTTAAATATTGAGGTCAACAACAGAACTCTACTTACAGTCTGATACTTTAGTTACTCAATTGTTATTTATAATAACTGATAATCGACCTAAGATTCCCTGTATTTTCACTATACACAATGATACTAACCTATTATACACGTATTATGTGTTGTCTATCAGAAAATAAGTAAGGTTTTGGAGCCCAGTATGCTTCAAATCTTTCGTTTAATCTTCGTTTTAATCCTATTATCTTTCTTCAATTCATGATGATCGATCAAGTTATAAGTCTAAGGTTGTATTCTATTAATTTACACGTAATGTCGATACTGAATGCCCACACAGCTGCTTACGTAACAACGATAGTACACATGTAGCTGTAGTTAGCTCACCTATATTTGATTTCCTCACATTTTTTCCTAAAACAATTTTCCACTTAGCTTACTACCTAATTTATCCAAACACGTGAATTAGTTGCGAAATTTGATGTTGAAAAGTACCTAAGCTAAGTTATTTCTTTGTTTCCTTCAAGTCATTGTTTTCTTTTGTTTACCCGAAGCCTTTTTTCTAGGGCTTTAAAACAAAAACAAGTATTTGTAAAAGAAACATTTATTGGTAAACGTGATCGCCTTCGCAATCATTTAGCATTGTATGGAAAAAGAAATACTTTTTTATTGACGTATTTTCTAAACAAATACCTTTTAAGGATGTTCCGTGCTTCGTGCTCTTATGTAAAGAAGGAGGTTTACCCTACATTATTGGTTCGCGACAAATTGTATTTGGTTTTCTGCACATTTTAAATCACGGTTCACGATATCGATTGAAGGTTTTCATGTTCACATTTTTATGTACTTTCGCGAAATATTACATAAAACAAACATAACATCACGCCTTTTATCATCTTTTGCCTTTTGTAGGCAGAGGTGCACATTACGGCACTTAATGCCACTGTACAATGTAACACCCACTTTTCACTATTTATGTTATGAGTCCCATGTAATAGGGGGTGAGCCTATTGCCACATGTGCGAAATATTAAGAAACACAAAATCTAAGTTTCTTCGGTAGGTAATATCTTGAGTTTATTGATGTTAATGATTGCGTAACACGTCTGGCCGCCTGCGTAATGTTGGTACCATGTCTTACTTACGATTGCCCTATTTTCCTCAAAGCAAAAATATTCAATTATGGTCCTTGCTTATTTCTGTGTTTGTGTTTCTTTCGCAAATAATAATGGATATTTGTTTTTCTTTAGCAACAACTTGGGTCAGCCACCTAAAAAAGATAAGGAACCCAAGAAAAAGAAGCCTCAAATTGAAACAATGGTCCCAGATGTAGTTGTGGAAACGGAGGCTAGGGCGCCTGAGCCGGCCCCTACATTTGATGCTCCGAAAGAAGATCAGCTAGATGGTGGGTACCGCTTCTACTGAGCTTTATATCAAATGGTATTCGTATTTTCTCTAGTCTTTTATATAGTATGGCTTTAGTCATTTATATTGTGACACGATCAATGTTTTGTATTTTGTAGAGCTCGTATTTTGTTATCTACTTATTGTAAAAGATTTCGCTGTCGTTACTTCGCATGTTCTTTTCTGGAGGGTCGTAATTTGTGATGGGGTGTAGGTACCGAGACCTATTAGAATTTCAGAAAACACTTTAGATTAAGTCGAGCTTCTATCTTGATATCAAGAACATAAACGATTTCATAGGTATTCCTAATTTAACCTGTGGAAGGTCGCGCACCATGTAGTTTCTCCCATCAACTTTGGAGTCGTTATACCTGACTTATTTGTATGAACATTCCGGTCAATTGGTTAGTAGTAAAAGATCTAGGGCATTTGTAGAATTTACTAATTTACATAACAAATGTACTAAGGATAGCATTGGCTATTTGGTGGGATAACCTCTATAGGATTTAATTAGCGTCGGTTCCTGCTTCCCCATCCCACAGTTACTACGCTATGCATATGTTACCGGCCAAACCAGATTTTCAAATAACTTGGTTCATTCTAATTTTATTCGAGAATTGTATTTGGTTAGTGACATTTGCATTTATTTTATTTAGTTTCAGACTTACAGACATTTATACAAAATTCTTACTTTCTTTCTATCTCTTACTTTTTTCCGTTGATTATTTTAGTATTGGACATTAACAGAATATCCTGCTTTTAAATTAAAAAAAAAAATACAACAGGTTTTATATCTTTGTTGTATATGACATTGTGTCCGTTTAAAATAATAAGAAGGATCACAATTAGTTTTTTTTATTAAATAACAACTAGATACTCTTTAGTTTAATTAAATAGGATTTTAATTGTATTTATTTTATACTTACAGCTTAATATTTAAAACATAGTCAATGGATTTTCATGCATTCTGCTTAATGCGAATTAAATCTTGCAAATGCTGGAAATCTGTGGACTCAGAAAATAATAAATTTATGATACAATTATGTATTAAAAAGTTTCTAAAACATATTAATAAATAATTTCAAGACATTTGAAATAATAGAAAATATTAAAATACATGTTTAACAAATATTTTCTCAACTAGTAAATTATGAATAATTGCTTGTACACAAGCGAATTAAAATCGCCACGGTCTTCTTAACCGTAAAATGAAAATGAATTCATAAAGACTTGATAAACTAATAATAAGATGTACACAATGCAGGCTCTATGTAGTTTTGGTTCAGAAGTTTTATTAAATCGATTTATTAATTATCGTTACAGAAGGCCAAGGCGAAGGGTTATTCCAAACTTCGTGTCAGTTATTTAATAAATTTCCCCCTTATATATTCTATAGGTTCTTCAACAGCCAGGATATGTTACTCACTGCGGTCACTAACCGTACATACATACGTTGTGAGGTAAAGTATAGACAGGGCAAACATATTGTTACCTGGAATGCATGGTATGTACATGTACTATTTATTCATTTAATATGAGTATTAAACGAGATCATTGTTGCGGTGTCGTTGTCTTTTTTTTCAGATAATAATAAAATGTCCTTTAAGCACGTAGGTGCATTTTTATCTTCCGTCTAATTTTTTGTTGTGCAGTTATCCCGTCGCTACCACCTGCGCATGCGCAATCAGAGAAGGGAGTGGAGAACATGGATATATGTACCCCTGAGTTGAATACTTTAAAAGATGAGGTGTGTATATTTCCCTTATTGATAATATTAGATTTGTTCGGTGATGTCAAAAGTGATCTTGGCAGTAGAGGTGATTCAGAGTGTTCTGAAGTACGCGGCTGCATGTCTGATAACGTGACAGTGTCGGCGGCGCGGCGCCGCGCGCGCCACTCGCTCCGTTACGCATTACTATGGCTCTCGAAACAAACCGGCGCGCGACGCCTTTACTAGTTGACGTCTGCCATTGACGACATACCTTTATAGCTGCCAACAACAACCAAACAACACAATCATTTCACAATTTAGCTTAATTCATTGAACATTTCATTTAGTAGACGGCAAAATGGTGAGGGCTACGGTTATAAATGTTTTTAGGGAAGAGAAACTGTTTCATTATTTCTGTTAATTAACTTTAATTATAAAAAAATCTTAATTAGTGCAGTTTGATATGATAAACATTAATATGATGCAGTGTTTTCATTTTAATGACGTTCTAGCTGGCTTTAGTTAACAATATTGTTGTTGTTTTAGGTGGTTTCCTGCAACATATCTCAGGTGAATCCTGGTTCAAGCTTTGTCACCGGCCGTCCCCTGCAAGCTTCTTATTGCTCGGTGAGTACTTCTACCTTAATAACTTCAATAACTTCGATGTTACTTTCCGTGTATGTGTAATTTACGTGATTATTTCATATACTGGGGATATTGATAAACGGTGTGTTAGTTACCTCTGCCGAGAGTACGCCTGACAGTTGCACTAGTTTCAAAAGTAGTGTTGATTCCTATGTTAGCGTCGACTCTTATGTACGTACTAAATTATGCTGTCGAAAAAAATAACAATAATATACGACAGTAACAAATGATGTGTATTTAGTTAGCGTTTCGTTTTATCTATCGAGTTATTTATTTTATGAGAATTTTAACGAAAATCATGCTGTACCTACCGCAATCGACAAAACATAATCTTTTGTCTCCGCGGTAACACTTAATTTTCTATTTACTATCCTAAGGTACAAAGTAAGCGATACCAAGAGATTGGCCGCTTCGAGATGCGATGTGAGAGCTCTGAACAGTTGCGTTGCAAGGTAACTATCTTGTAATTGATGTTGTGTAATATATAGAAAAACGGTGAAGCTCTGTTCTCTGCCGGTGCACAGATATCATACCAAAAAAAAAGTGCCAAATCCCAGGGAATCTCTAGACGCAAGGCTTTGGGCACTATCTGTGCGACCGAGAGAAAACAATGCGCGCATTTGCCAATATTGTATGCACACATGTGTACCTATGTATACACCTATATATGTTTGTTCATACGCCTAACGTTTGACGTAGTGTTTTATAAACTGGTGAATGCGAAAATACACGCTCGTGAATGAACAATGATTCAATAACTTGATAAAACGTGCGAACCTCGGAAAAAGACTTAGTGACGTACTTAGGTAAAAAATAACAGTGTTTCTAAGTTTGGGGGAGTTAGGCCGGTTTCCTTTTGAAAGTTAAATACTGAAGCTAAAAACGTGCCTCTTGTATAAGGTCGATGGAAAAAAGTCTGAACCAGCTTTCTTTGTTTTATTGTTTCAAATTTTCTTAAGACGCCGTGTGGTCGCGTTTTATAATCAGCCTCAGTCCAGACTCGTGACTGGATTGGCGTTCAACTTGGGCAATAATATAATCAGTCATTAGCCACAATAATTGCGAAACATTTAACCTTTTTGTGTTTGAACGCGATAATCTCTTGCGTTTTGTTAGTCGAATTTAGTCGCGTTTCGATAGATGAATTTACCGATGAGTAGTTTAGGGATGTTGTGTGACGTAGAATATAATCGTGACGATACTCATTTACAGGATGGATTTTCATGCGTGATATCTATGCACGATGGTGTCGTAATGTACGCAACATCATCATTGACGACTACTCTTGGTTTCCCCAAAGACATGTGGATTGGAAGATCATTCATCGACTTCGTTCATCCAAGGGTAAGTTATCTAGTTCTTAGATTGGTCTGTTTTAAATCTTTGTTCCTGTTATATTAATGGAGTAATTGTTGTATACAGGATCGCAACACCTTTGCATCACAAATCACGAATGGTTTGGCCGTCCCTAAAATTGTTAATGGTACGCAAGAAAAAGGTAAATTGATTATTTATTGAATCCATTGTGCCAATTCACTGTTTTATGCGATTTTGTACCTTATTTGTAATAGGTATATTGTGCATGATATTTATGTTCACATTTGTTAGGGATTACGGTACAGACTCACGTGTACCATTGTCCCTATACAAATGTTACCTATTTCACAAAGCCTAGTCCTATTAAATACGTGCTTCTTTGTTTTACAGCACATTAGCTAGCTTGTTCTTAGTTTTTTGTAAAAATATACATTATCAGATTATGTTCCTGGATATTCAATTGAATGATTGGCACATGGATGGAAAAAGTGAATGCTGGTTACTCTAATTATCTGTTTTATATAGTTTTTGGGAATAATTTGAAATCTTCGTTTCAGTTTTAAACAATAGCTCCAATACTTTGAATAAAGCCTATAAGAATTAAAAGTAAATAGACCTAGTCCCAATTCATACTTCTAAAACAATAGCTTAGCTAGCTACTCTTCGTTAAGTTGACTTTTAACCCACGTGGTTGATACAACAACTGGGCAACTACTGACTAGCGTCATTATTTTAGTTCTGGTAAAGTTGTGAATCAGAGGTTATTCAATCACTGGTCCTACATCAAGGGGAGTTATTTTTAAAACTGTTTTATTCTGTAAGGAGAACTTTATTTTCGTTAGTCCTTTTTAACCTTTTTGGGCATTGTATTTATTTCGTGCCCTTTTTATACAGCCAGCTTTCACTTCCACGGTGTAATTGAAATTCAAAATTATTTTTATAGGTTTTTGTTTGGTATTTATTTTGGATACCATTGGTTTTTATATTACTGACAATTGAATGACCAAGAAGGTTGGTATTGAATAAAGGTTAGTAATAGTATTATGTTCCTGATGTCAGCTTTTCTGCATTTATTTGCATAATTACTTATTGCACGGAGCTGTAAGAGGGATTCACTATTAGAGTGTTTTCTTCTTACATTAGTTTAGTTTACTTTGCTTAGTTTCGAATCGGTGTGCGATAGTAATAACTATTTTAATGTAATAGTTATTGGTATCATGCTTTAATCATGTGGTGGGAAACCCCTTAAAGCTATAAGTTCTTAAAACAATTTCCTGACGTAAGTTGTAGTTAAAAGCCTATCTCGCTTTGCGTTCTAAATACTTGCCTGTGCTTTTGATACGTTTTTTAACAGGACATAAACTAAGTGCATGTTTTTCCTGTTTCTGGAAGTCTATACAATATCTTGCTGACTTATAAATATGTTAGGTACATACCTATCATCCATTTTCTAATAGTTTTAATTAAGACTGTTAGAAAATTCAACACAAGATATATATCAATTGAAATGTATCGACTATCAGGAACGAGAAAGAATGGGTGATAATATTGTGTGATTTTATGGTTGACGTCATGTTTCAGTATAAATGTTATATTTTGTCTTCAGTTCAATCTCCAGCTAATTCGGTGTCAACAATGGTTTGTCGGATACGGCGGTACAGAGGCCTCACTACAGGGTTCGGTGTTAAAGAGAGAGTCGTGGGGTTCATGCCGTTCCTGCTCAAACTCACGTTCAAAAACATAAGCGATGAAGAGGGTAAAGTCATCTACTTGGTTATACAGGCGACACCATTTTTCTCTGCGTTTAAAAGTAAGTGTATTACAATAACGTGTCCTGTAAATACATTCACGCTTCGGTAGAAAAGGTATGCCATTATACCATTTCTTACAAAACATATTATTTTTGGTTTTGTATAAAAATGTTCGTGTGTAGCATTCCTTTACGTACAATCATTCTGAATGTATTATCATTGTTTCCTTTTAACTTCTGATTATTGAATAATGCGCGCAAACTATGACGTGGCTTTCTATGAAAACTATTCAATAAACGTACTGTTGTAACTGGTTACCATGCCATTTCTAACTATTAAGTACCTACACTAAAGAAATAATCCACAGAGTTGTTGAATGAATTAATGATTAGAATTGGATTCGATTAGATTCTAATGTAATTTTGTCAGTTTATGACTGCATAAGTATTTTGTTTTTTTAATTGATTAGCCGATGAGGGTAACAATCAGTGATTGCCACATCACACGTTTACGTTACCAAGTCAGTAAGTAAACTAACTGATTTACTTGGTTTGATGGTCATGAGAGAATCTACCGAAGTTCCCATTTTCACTACATCTAATGCACTAATTCCATAATTTTTAATTTTATTATAGTATTATTGTCCTTAACTGCCAAAATGCTCCCTTCAATATGAATTTTTCCACTGCTATAAATACCTCATTTATGTTATAGATTTTAAAAGGACAACAATTAAAATGAATAATTCTTTATTTCTTTGCAACACAGTTAAGGCTTCCAAAGCTTTCGCCGTGTTTGCGTCCTTGCAGTATGAAATAGGTCGTTAAAAATTTCATTTGTTCCTAAAGCGCCGAACGAGGTGGTGGTAAAAGCGGTGCCCTTTGTCATAAGACATGCGGCTAACGGCCACATTGAATATGTGGATCCTGAGTCTGTTCCGTACCTGGGGTACTTGCCTCAAGACCTCGCTGACAAGGACGCGCTGATGCTGTACCATCCTGATGACTTGATGTATCTACGACAAGTGTATGATACCATCGTCAAAGAAGGAGGTCTCCCTAGATCTAAGGCTTATCGGTTAGTATCCAGGTTTATTAACGCCATTATTTTTTTGTTTTTATTGACTTGATTGTCATGTGAACACGAGGGTCATCGCATAATAACAACGGGATTTCTTACAGTATGATTACACAAAACGGTGACTATATTCGGCTGGAAACGGAGTGGTCATCGTTTATCAATCCTTGGTCTAAGAAATTGGAATTCGTTATTGGAAAACATCATATTTTAGAGGTAAGGTGTTTTAATTAATTTAGTGGCATATTTGTCAATGATGAATGACAGAACCGTGTCGCAAAATTATCAAATGATATCGTTATGTTTATTTATAGGGCCCTACCAACCCAGACGTGTTTCAATGTCCTGAGCCGGAAAAATCAATGAAAGTTCCCGAAGAAGAAAAAAACAAGGCACAAATGCTGAGAGAGACCATTATTCGAACAATGAATGAGGCAAGCGAAATTATATTTAACAATAGCTTTGTAGAAAAAATATTGTTGAGCATTTTGTGGTTTTCAGTGAATGTAGAAATTGTTACGGAGTTAACGTAGACCAAGGCTGAAGCTGTATAAAGAAAGACGTTTATTGAAGTACTTATTTACCTTTACACTTTTTCGAATCGACTCATTTATTGACGAGCTCTTACTTGAGAGATTGCTTATTGGACTTGAAACGATCTGCTCTGATTTTAGTGCGAACTATCACAGTTAAAATAGTTTGTTTTCTATTGTGTCGATTATATTAGTTTTTTATAAAGTATCGGTTTATTGCAATGGACGTTTACAGGCTTATAATATGGTCGTCAGTAATTTGTCTGCTTAGCAGGACAGGGTGGTCCATTGCGCCGGGCACTCAGCGGCTCTCTGCTGTCGCACCTTGTTGATATATTTACTTTACTTTTTAGTAACAGGATTCTTGGATTCGGGTGGTAAACCTTAGAATCTAAATGTACAACTTGATGTTTAGCTTTATTGTGGCGTATCTGTTTAATGAATTATGTTTACCTGATACAATTAATTATTTCAGTACGTGTTTAAAAGATAACGTAATCATTTAAAAGAAAATTTTGCAACTTACAGGCTTATGAAGTATAATTATTGCATGGTTTTTGATCAAAATATTACTTGTCCTTTTCTTGTTGCTACTTAAAAAAACGAAATACCGTTTGATGTTCGCAGGTACGTCTTTATATCAAGTTTATCGAACTTTATAGTTTCAAGTTTCAATAATTGACATTGGTAATGTCTTTGCACTATTCAAAACTTTGTAACGATATTGAAATTGTGGCGTTTGATAAAAAAAATATCGAATTTTCCATTAATTACGATAAAGTGCACAGCGATTAATATGTTGAAGTCACGCGCCATCTTTTTATACTTCGTACGTGTGTTGGAAGCTGTAGGCAACGTGTTCCCGGTCTTACTTAACTCGTGATTCGCTATGCTACCTCGGTAAACGGGATCGAACAGACGATTTCTTACTTACAACTGCGGCTAAACATAATTATTGAACTGTCTTTGTACATTGTATACAGTCTCTGGCCACATAATTACACATACTCTTGTTTTTTATTTAATTTGTAATTCATTTAGACAAGTTTATACTGTCTATTATATACGTATTTTGGACTTTTGGGTTGTATATAATTTTTATTAATAGGAAATTATTTAGGTGCACTCCATCAAAATAATTTCCTATTAATAAAACATATGTGCGTTTAATAAAGTGGACAAAGACTGTGGTGTTTGCTTATACCTTGTCTTAGACAAGCGTCTCCATAAAATAGCATGTTATGTAACTGGCATATAACATTATTGTGCACTTGCCTTATAGTGGACACTATGCCTAGAGTTAGTGTGAAATTTTAACTTGATTCATTTGTACAGGCTCTGACTAAACCCGCGGAAATAGCGAAGCAACAGATGAGCAAGCGTTGTCAAGATCTTGCTTCGTTCATGGAGAGCTTAATGGAGGAAGTGCCCAAGACTGATGAGGAACTACGCTTAGAGATTCACGATCCTGATCACAGCTATTATGTAAGTTGACATTGTTTTCTATAATTTTAATAGTTTAAATAATGTTGAAGTAAAGACTGTCTTTCAAATTGTATTTATAGTTTCGTGAAGTTTAAGTAAAAATTCCGTGCATATGCTATAATAGGGTAGATGCCTAATTTTTATTTTAATGTCCGTCTGGTAGATTATTTACAGAAACGAATACTTTCGACGATATATTGATTTGAAATGCCGCGTGACGTCACTTCTATGTACATTTTATACGTAGACATGACGTTTTAGCCCCCACTCCTAAACTTTGATTCGTTTTATCTAAGTATTGTTTTATTATACGACAAAATAAAAAAATACGTGTCTAATATTTTTTCATTACCTAACTTACGGACTAATTATATTTTTAATTTTCATACCCCTGTCATCACCCCAATTATGATACGGTTTTGGTTACTTAAAGTTTCCATTTCGGTAACGGTTCGTATTGGAGTTTTGTTTAACTTCTTCGTTCGACAATGGGATATCACGTTGAATCTTTTGATCTTGAACCAATTACCTAACCACTACCCCTCATTAAAAATGAGCAGTCATTACGTGCAAATAAATGACGTGAAAGTAAGAAGGCTTCAATGGCCACGTGAGACGGTAATCAATCAATAAGTTTGTCATTTCCATCCATGTTGCGTGGTGTCCACGTGACCTTTGCAATGGTTCCCCAACATGCGCTCGATTGGGTGGGCGGGAGAGCACGTGTTCGTCATAACAGACATCCTATCCTATTTTGTTGCGTAAACTTTGTATGTCATTGTGATCTATTTCCCCGTACGTTAACAAATAGGATTAGTTACTATGTATCTACTTGTGTATCTACACTTGAAAACGATATCTATATCAATATTATAATGCTAAGGAGTTTGTTGGTTTGTTTGAACCCACTAATTCCCGGAGGAGCTACTGGCTCTAATAGAATACTTCTTTTTTGTTGGATAGTTCGTTTCTCGAGATAGGTTATTAGGTATAAAACATCACGTTGTGGTCAATAGGAGTGAATTAGTGCGAGAGTAGCTCATAGTTTTGACATTCAAAATTCTCCCCTTCATATTGGGATGTTGATATGATCCTATATTAATATATTATAGTTAATTCGTTACCATGTTAGTTTTAGTTATTCAACTAAATAACGTGTTACGTTACTTAGTTGAATAACTGATTGTGTAACACGTCTAGATTTATTGTAAACTTCGATTCGTATTTGTTAATCAACTTGATTCAAAGTACAGTACTTATTTATTACAATGAAACAGTTAGCAGGGACTTGTGTGAACAAAATATAGCGGTTTAGTTTCGTACTTTATTATGTTTCTTTAATTTTTTGACAAATTTACGATGTTCTTATAAGCTTTTAACTTAGAACTTTCTCAATCAGTAGGCCATTTTGAAGCATTAGCTTACTGGTTATGTAATTTTATTTCGTTTTTTTTATATCACAACACTTTGTATGTTTACATTGCATAATGAATTATATACTTTGTTGTCTATTTGAACATGAAAATTTTACTTCACGTTTCTTAGCTGCAATATAATATTTAAACTGTCAAACACCAAGCGGTCACCGGTGACCGCGACCTATTGTTCTTTAATTGTGTCTATAAAACCGGTACTCGACGAGTTAATAGATAGAACTAAATTGTACGTTAAATGAAAATTACTTTACTTTAGGTATTTATTGCAATCAGTCTTTTTCTTCAAACATTTTTTTCTTCTTTGCAGGAAAGGGACTCAGTGATGCTTGGTGGGATTTCCCCACACCATGACTATTATGACAGCAAGTCTAGCACTGAGACTCCGTTGAGTTACAACCAATTGAACTATAATGAAACGCTGCATAGGTAAGTTCCCTCGTGTACTATAAACATGATCTGTGAGCGTAGCTTAGTCCCTGTTTCGCCACCTTAATAGAAGTACTCGATAAAATTATGTGGACATACTTCATACATATTACGTTTCGTTTATCTGGTACATATTGGCTATCCAGACACCGTGTAACAGGCCAGTCTACAATCTAGAACATTCTTTTGGGACTAAATGTATGATGATGATATTCCCAAATCAATGAGAATGTGTGCATAGTATAGGACCTATATTCTCCAAATATATTTGACGGTTTTGTCAAGTCCAAACAAGTGTCACAAATGATGGTTTTAAATTAATGAGAGTACACCCTAAGTATAACACCTGGTTTCCCCTAAAGTGGTGTACGGAGTATTTATTAAACACCTACTTTATGACAGTTTGGTTCAGTCCAAACATGTCAACACAAAATCTCTTAAAGATTGACTATCAGCATTATATCATACCACTTAGAAATTCTCTGATAATTTATTCAGTTACGAATTTGCGAAAAATAACTAAACTCTACCAAAATCCCACTTAAAGTCAGTTAGCAAAATTATTCATAAAGCCTAGGTGAAAGTGTAACACTGTAACTGTTTTATATTTGTGTTCAGGTATTTCGATAGTCACCAACCTATCTCCTATGAGGACTACAACACGGTCACCGGCGAAAACATTCTCGGACTGAAAGATCCGAGACCACTCATAAAGTACGTGTGTTTCTTATGTAACGTGACTACTTATATTGTAGTTTGAAATATATTTTATGTTCATCATGGAATGATTTTTGCCCTGGTAGATCATGTAGTTCCCCAAGGACCGTTGTCTAATAACGTAGGGAGCCCCACTTCGGTGCGGTATCAGTTTGAGCTGCTGACAATGTTAGAGATTAACACCCTATTTCAGTAATAACAGGCAAGATAGTACGCCGTGATTTCTATCGTGCTCGTTATATACCAACTATTATATTTGCATGTACTGAAACCTTTTTAAAATTATAAATGTTAGCTCAAACAGATACTGCATCAATGGATGTGGTGGTGCCTCAACATAATTGTAGACCCTAATGCTAAGTGGGTTAATTAGTGCTACAAAGTATTGTTCTGTTGCAGTCATTGCCTGTCTCCGATGGCGCAGCATTCGGGAGACTCTGGGGAAATGACCTGTTCGTCTGATTCCAACGGCATGGTCATGGGCAGTAACAGTCCCGTGATGCCCCTCGGAGATTACCAACCAATACGTCTCACTGAGGCGTTGCTTAGCAAGTTAGTAAAGACTTCAACAACAAGAGTTGCTCGTTGAAGTACTAAGAGACATTTGCCAATAAATTCAAACAATAATTATTGGGGACTTGTTTTCTTGTCTTTAACCCTTGAACCACTCGCGTTTACAAGCATTAGAACTTCATAGAGTGTAGTCTACACGTATGAAAACTAAGTAAAATTTCCAGTAACTATATCTATGTATCAGTATATATGTATCTATTGACCTGTGCCGTCCTATGTGTTTTTCCTACGTGGATATTGTGTACAGAAAAAACTTTTCTTATAGATCGTTTAAATTTATTAGGCACAATGCTGAGATGGAAAAAGAGTTAATGAAGATGCATAGAGAGACTCGTTCTAGCAGTAAAGGGGATCGGGAGAAGAATTCAAATGAGACTAGGAAGAAGAAGAAGGAGCACTTGGCGCGTTGCAACGCGTCCTACCACCCTACTAGTGCTGGCGCTACTAATACTGAGCATCAGGTAAATACTTCTACTATTAGGCTCCTAACTCCCGGTAAAAAACTGTTAAAGGCGGTCTCTGTGACGGTGTCCAATGTGTTAAATTACAGTTTACGGTACTATATAAATACTACAATACAGTCAATTTTAATCTAGTTCAATGTTATGTTGATATAAGAATAGTTAAATAACTCCGATATGCTTCCACTAACTTTAGACCTATTTCAATAGTATCCATTGGTATCCACAATCAGAGTTTATTTTGAAAAATTATTGTATATCAGTTCAATGATTTTTAATAGGAATACAATGTTACATGAAAACCAGTTTGCTTTTATAAAGGGTTCAAAGGTTCCTTTGGTTAGTATTGTACGTCGGTTAGTTGAGCTGACTGGAAACTGATAGATCCGCTAACTCTTGTGGTTCCTAAAAATACCGCTACAGAATCAACTTGCACGGTTCACCCACATTACTATTATTTATTTGTCTGACTTTAAAAGACACCTTGACTGTGAGTGGCATTTCTTAGAGTACTCGTATAGAAAATAGCCGGCCTCATCTAGTTTGTTTAATTTTGCAAAATTAACAATTATTTTATCATCAGTACGGAGTTTTTTCGAGTACGTTGCTTGCTTTATATTGATAAATTGAGTGACTTACAAATCATTTAAAATTTGCAGCAACCCCACGGTGTAAAGCGTACATCTAAAATGATGGACGCTGAGGCTGGCGCTCACAAGCACCATTGCCCGTCGCCGCGGCAGGCGCGTCGCAACAAACGCACGCTGTCTACCAACGCGGCCGTCGCCCAACCATCTACCAGCGTTACCACTACCACTGTCGGTCAGTTGGCTACAGGTATATTATGTTACATGGTTAACTATTATAACTATATCCTATATTTCTCACTATTTCATAAAACATCGTCATAGTCTAAATCTAAATCTTTGTAGTGATGTAGATTCCTATGATTTTTGTCAAAATGTCTAAATATTTAAGTAACTGAGCATTGTTTATTTATTATAACAGCTGTAAAATTCATGAAAATTAGTTTTGCTATAGAAGCTTCAGCGTTTCTTCAGCGTTTGAAGTGCTAAAACGTCATTATATGCTATTGTTACCTTTCCAGTATGTTAGTCTTTACTACTATAGTTCACCTAGTAAATTAGCGTGATCTATGCAAAATGTTATGTAAATTGTTACCTTCTTTTCATTCAACAATGAATACAACTTTACTGTATTACATAAAATATAACAAAATACAAGAAGTTGATGGAAGTTTAAAAAATGCTTAACGAAGCAAGGTTCCTAGTAAAACGTGCTTTATAATTCCTACTCAAGTGTAAGAAAGACGTTTGTTTACGAATTAAGCTAAGTGTAATAATTATATCAATATAATCATATTATGTATAAATCATTACAGCATCGAATCATTGGCCAACCCCTCCTGCAAACAATATGAACACGTTCATCTTGGGCGTAGGGATCCCTCAGCAGATGTCTATAATGAGCCCCATGCCTCATCCTATGCAGGCCATGCACACAATGCCGGCGGTGCCAGGTGAATATCCACTCCAAGAGACGAATCAAAAGCTTTTAAAGACACAATCCTTTGCAAAATTATAACTGTCTATTGCTTTGAACTCTCCAAGTTAGATATTAGAACATTAATTGACATCAGTATCAAAATTACTTTTAATTCCGTTACAGGCATGTTCCCAATGTACTACGCGCCGGCGGCAGCGCCGCAACCGATGCCAACAAGCTCAGGGCATCATCACATTCCTTCAAGCAGCCAGCATCAGTTCCCTGCACCAAGTAAGTTTATATTTCTTATTTATTAGTTGCCATTAGTAAAAAGTTCTTAACAAAAATGATGTTACTGATAACACTGAGAGATTATCGAAGTAGGTCAGCTGTGGAGTACATTAAACCAGCGTGACAAGATGTATAAAAATCTGGTAGAAATTGAAGAAGTATGTAAAGATTGCGGTAGTTTTTACTCACACGTATATGTATGTGTGTCTTCATTTTTATGTTTTAGTGCTTAAAAAATTCCTTACTGTAATTCTTATTCTCTTTTCTTTATTACAGTGATGATGTACAGCCAGCCAATGTACGGAGCTCCGTTCATGTACTCGCCAATGGCCCAACAAATGTCTTACCCCATGCAGCAATCTCACATGATGGCACAGTCCATGCAACAATACACCAATACCATGAACCCTTTAGGGTTGACCAGTAGCAACTATGAAGAGGTATACAATCAACCATCTCTAATCCTTACTTGCACAGTTTTAGTGTTTTACACAATCTAGAAAGAACCTCACATTAATTTTATTTGTACTATAATGCTTTGAATGTTTTGTTCACAAGCAAAAATATTTCGCTAGAATGGTGCGACCCCCTAACACTGTTGGGGTATTTCGATAGAACTCGAGTGCGTCGCCGGTGTCTTATTGTTGATCCACGTAATGCGCACAAACATTCGCTACTGGCATTTGAAAGTTTCCTGCGCTAGATCGAGTCCTTCACTAATGATGAATATTTTACATTTGTATCGCAAGTATTTTACGCTAGTGGATATCAAAGTAAATAAATACTTATATTAATTTTTATTTTACTACCTAGTTGCTTAAATGGTTTGTTTATGAGAAGAGCAAGGCAAATTTTGAAGCGAATTTTAAAATTACGAAGATAAACGTGGAGTAGAAATAGGGAGCGTGCACGAGTCGATGTAACATCAATTAAAGTGTGTCTAAATTTAAAAATTTGTTACTTTACCTACCTATCTTAATTAAATTTTGTAACCTTCTTTTTTCTTTAATTCTTCTAGAGTATTGGTAATTGGAATTGACATGGCTATTCTTGGGAATTGGTTGTTGGAATGTATATAAATTAATAATTAACGCTTGGTAAATAGGTAATGTTACGTCACGTTAGGATAACAGCTACAGAAAGTGTTTTTTATCCGCAGACGTCTCCGGTATCGGCTATTGCGCTGCCACGTAAAGTTCGTGCACGTTTCCTATAACATCAAACATTACTTGATATCTTTCTTCTGAAACCTTGCTTCTTCCTCATGTTTGACCTGCTGTTCGGCATAGTGTAGGATAAAATTTGATAGTAAACTGATTCGCCGTCGGAGGCGAGATAAACTCACCGTTGTTGAATACCTGCACAGGCTTGTAAGCCCAGTTTAACATTGAGGCCAGGCAAGGTGCAAGGCAGTGTGTGGCGCGACAAGAAAAGAGCAGAATCTCAAGGCACATCTTCAAAAACAGACAACGGCAGCGCAGATAGTAACTCATCTACGAATGCGTTGAATCGGGTATGCCAACAAAATCTTAGCGTTCATATTATCTCAACATGATTATTCAGATACTGCATTATTTAAAGAATGATTGTTTATTTTGATTACTTGTGATGGTGACTATGTATATCTCAAGTAGATGTCGAAATAAGAGATCATTATTGATAAACAAGTCAAAGTCATTATCAGTCCTTTCACTTCACTAACCTATGTTACTTAATGATCACCTCACCGCCATTACATTTACTCAAATATAAATGATCAATCACCCTTGTACATAGTGTAATGACAATGGCCAATCGACTATTTAGTCTTGTTTCTTTCAGTAAGCTCCCTCTGCCTATTTATTTTATGCATGATCAGCTTCTTGATATTTCCTGTTGGAACGTGTAGATTTTTCTTTTGCACTTTTTAAATGCTTTTGTAGGTGTCGGGGACGCAAAAAAGTCACAGTGGGAACGAGAAGTCTACGATATACTCGACTGACATCAGATCTTCAAACAGTATGAGCGCTAAGGTTAGAGCTGCACTCGTGGCTCATATTTGCAACTATTTATCTATATTTAAGTTTATATGTCACTCTTTCTTCCTTTTTACTAAATATTCTCGACTTACTCAGTGCAAAGAAGGTGGCGGCGTAACAATATAATAAAAAATAAATACTTGATGCTTTTGAAGCATTCACAAGAGGCAGGTCCGTCGAGACGCCAGACCGCTCCTCAATTCAGTCCTAATCCTTCACAACTTTCCATTTTCTATCTGTTAAGACCTTTAAATGGAGTTATTGTTAACGTTAAGTATCAGTTATGTGAACGTAGGTACAATCTCTAGTATGTGTCAGTGTAACTGTGTTAATGTGTTATTGTAACGCGCCAAATAGGAATTTTGATTGATTAAACTAATCAAAAAACTACGATACACTATTTTTAATATTGACCACAACACTAGGTACACAGTGACCTACAGAAACCACTGCAGGACACGAATAATATCTATGTAATATGTTTGTAATGATCCTTTCCAAATGTACTTAGCGGTTATTGATGAACCGTAATGATCAGTATTCTTACGACAGCCTAACTTGGTTACGCGTGCGTCGAGGCAGGATTGGCCTAGACTCAGCCATATACCTCAGGTATGAATTTCGCAATCCATCTGCTTGACACAAGTTTATAGAAAGTATTCGTTTTAACTATTACGATCTGAAAGCATTACTTGGCAAGTGATGCCGGGGACGCCGCATAATGGAACTTGAAAAGGTGTACCTATGATCCTTCTTAGCTAGATTAGAATAGAATGATAGAATAAATAGTGAATTTTAAAATAGTATGTGAATTAGCTTGTATGTTGTCTGCGAACAAAACTATGGCAATGTCTATATGACGTGTTTCCCTTCAGAGCACAGAGGCTGTGCCGAACACTCCACCTTCAGCCAGGGAGAGTCGCCTCAGCAAGCTGAATCGGCTGGGCAACAGCGAGGAGACCCCCGACAAGACTGATGGAGAGTCTAGCTACTCGTCCTTCTACTCTTCCTTTTTTAAGACTGAGTCCGGTAGTGCCGAGGATAGTGGTGACGGCAAGAATGGCAAGGACAAGCAAGCTAGGGTAAATATCACTTTACATCAACTTCTCAGCCGAAGTTCATTGATTTACATGAGCTCCTTCCACAGATCTATTGACACTTGAGACTACGTTATACCGTTGCCCCATCCTATCACAACAGCCTGTAGTGTGGCACTTTACTTCCCTTCCCTACTACCCTTCCTCAGACATTTAGACAGAATATTTGAGACGATAGGATATTCGTTAACTAGACGTCGTCGACAGTAGATCAGATCAGGTTCGCAAATATAAGGATCATGAGTTATCGTAGTTCCAGACAAAGTATTGTTCATTTTTTGCAGGTCACTAATCATGAGTGTTATGAGAGTGAGAGTACGAATTGAAATGAGAGTGTTACTGTTTTATTGTTACTGATAAATGTTTTTTCTTTTTCTTTTGTTTATTCAGACAATAAAAAAGAATATTATTTCAGAGCCCCATAAATCTGACATCTTCATACCATGTATCTCACCCAATGAAGAAGGTTGCCAGGAGGAAAATGGATCCGCCATGGTTGGAACAGGTACAACACTTCACTTAAGCATCCTAAAAACTGAAATAGTATTTTTATAGTGTACAAACAGACTCACTAATTGACACAAAACACTTTCCAGGTATGCGTGACATCAGAGTTAGTCTACAAGTACCAAATCCTTACCAAGTCTATGGAGGAGACTTTGTCCTCTGACAAACAGAAGATGAAAACTCTGGAACAGGTTAGCTTTTTAAATATTTTATTATACACAGTCAAATAAAACAAAAAATGCAAATATGTCAACCTACTACTTTCAACTTTATTGTTTTGATATAAAGTGGAAAATCGAATGAAAAAGATGACAGATTGTAGTAGATTAATCTGCTGGTCACTGTAAAATGTATAATTGGTCCGATAACATTACTATAATTACTTCCAGCCCTCTCTGGTGAACGAGCAGCTGAGTCAGTTGTACCTAGACCTTCAACTGGAAGGTGCCGCGGCGAGGCTGACCTTGGAGGAAGGTATCACTAGTTCCAGTAGTTCCGGCGAGGAAACCACCACAGTTACAAAGGTAAGAATTGATTCCCACTAAAAGTCACTGTAGTTGCAATCTATGTATGGATTAACAGCTTGCTAATAAAATAATTATGGTTCTTAAACTACCACTTGGCTATAATTTACTGTTAGCGAGCAAGAATACTTTAAGAAGGTTTCCATTTTGTGCATTTTGCTGACTATCTCAGGATATTAAACTTTACTCGTCTCATTTTATTGTTGAACGATTATTGTAGTAATAGACAACAGTATATAAAAGAAATGTGCATTACGGTAGTTCACGTACTCATTATTACCGACATTCCCTCTCAACGACACAACGCAGTCGCAAACGTAAGGCGTTTTTACGGAAAATAAGACTGCCCTTGCTCAATTCTTAAGACTATTAAATACTTGTTTTTTTTGGGTAGCCTGCTTCTAACAGAGCTTCAACTTCTGGAAAAAGCGAAGGAAAGAGACACACGGTTAGAATATTTTATTACACATCGTCCAAACATGAACACAAGATAATTTGATTGTGGAATGTCATTGTAACAGTTCATAGCTTTCCTCAAAATGTCTCTTAAGGCAAAACATAATATTCTATCATTGTTAGCTACACGCATTATCTATTTTTTCTCTCACATCACCTTCATGTGACCCTTCCAACACCTTTTGCGCACTGCTATATTAGTTATACGTATACAATTTCATTTTTAAGCACCAATCACGCCTCGTACTGCTGTCTAACAATTATTATTTATTTTATACAGTTTTTCAAATATACATTTTATCAAATGCACCAGTTTTTCAGACACTCTCATTTCGTATTTATTGTGGTTTATTGGTGGTATAATTATATTTTACTAATGCCTTTTTACGTTAAACCTTAGACAACTTAATATTGAAAATTGTTTCTTTTCCACAGACTTCACGCAGGAAACGGGAGTACAGCAAGTTAGTTATGATTTACGAAGAGGATGCGCCGTTGCCGCCGCCTGCTGAAGACGCCGTGGAAGGGGGTGAGGCATCCAGCTCGTCCACTTGTTAAATTAGGACCGTCAAAGGTCTAGTCGCAAGGTCGTCGTCACCCTCGTCACACTATGTCGTAGCAATGCACAATAATAGTAAATTAATTTGCATTTAAGCGTCATGATAAAACGCACGACGGTTCAGGGAATATTAAACTTCAAATATTCGTAAATAGACATATAGTTGTGTGTAAGTATGAACACGTGTCGTAGCTGTGTGTTTGACGGACCTTTCTGTACCGTGATGAAGATATCGTGCTTGTGCTCGTGTCTTCGAACCCAGATCTCATTCAGTTCTCGAGTTAACTTGAATGCAGTAGTTGTGTGGTGTGATTCTAACTGTACACTTAAGTCTCTGTGTTACATTTATCTTATGTATAGACTGCCATTAGCACCAAATAATAGTGATCGTAGACTACTTTGCTTAATTGATAAATATGTAAAATGAATTATTTTTGTTACGATTTTGTTGCGTGTGTTATTATTTTCTTTGTATTTTATGAAGCAGATTCTAATACTGAATTTTAAAATATTTTATATAAACGTGAGTTAATCTGGGAATGTTAAGAATTCAAGATTATTTTGATTGACCTATTCGAATCTGTGATACTCAAATTCCTATTACGGATAGGTAGTACAACTAGATAAAAATATGATGAGATTTTTAATATAATTATGTATCTATGTCATTTAATGTAAATGACTTATTAATATTATTATATTGGGGCAAGTAGTGAACTCAGTTTGTGCGCTTATTGTATTTTTAGTTCTCTTAACATTCCGTTTGGTGCTCTGTTGCTCACAATGGCTTAAAAAGTATTTTAACAGGGTAAAGTATTATCATGAATCAGAATCAAATATTATATTTTCATAATAGGCAAGTTTCCGACTAGTCAAGTTAAATACTGTTATCGCAATGTAAAACGATTTTTTATGAATTTTGTAGGTACGAGATTGGGTGTTGTGACATAACATAGTAAACAGTTTTCTTAAGTTTCTAGAAATACGAAAATTTCGTATTAATGACTTTTTTAATTTTATTGTATTATAAAATCAAATTAATTTTGAACTATGGCATTCTATGAATTTTGTAGATACCTACAAATCGTCGCGTGTATGTTTGTTGTTATGTCACAATAATTCCAAGTCAAGTACTGTCAAATAATGCACATATTTATTTAAAAATACTTAAAAAATAAGTAAATCAATTATATGATCGAATCAATTAATAAAAGTATGATTATTTTTTTAATAGTCTATTGTATTGATTGGTCGAAATAATGTATTGTTGACTGTGGAAACTACCCTACTTTATTTATACACATAAATATATATGTATGAGCGTTATGTTTATTGAATTATACTTACAGTCAAAGACTTATTGCATTTACTCGATTACGCAAGACATTGCTATGTTGGTTGTGCGTTGTCCTATTTATGCATTTGTAATAAATAAAATAAATAGCTGGACTGACTTGAACGTATTGTGATATGAAAGAATTGTCAGATTTATTATCATTTGTTGTATACTTAAGTGGTAATTTTTGCGTTATCGAGTGATTATTATGTTACATGTGTTTTAATTTTATTTTATGAAACAAAGGTGTCAATATGAACCCATCATCGTAACAGGTGCCTTAGAATCGATCTTTAAACTATTGTTCAGTGTCAATTTAATCGATCAACATTACAAACAATAGATTTTATTTTGTTTTACGATGTCATTAGAGTAGGGCGTGTTGATTAAGCCGTTGGCAAAAGTCCGTGCAGGGTTTTGACATTATCAACTTTTGTTTAGTATTTCCTACTAAAAGAATAACAATCTTTTTGAGATATCTCTTTATATTTAAATCGAGTTTGTAATTAAATAATTGATATAATGCATTTATTATAAATGGTATATGTGATTGACGAATTGATGAGTTTTTAATGTGTTGAAAGTCTAGTTTTGTATGACTCGAAATATATTTTTTAAAAGAGGAATTTTAAAAGTTATGGAATTGTCGTGCGGTCTTTAAATGCTAAGGTTACCAAATTGATGTAGGTAATAGAAAATTGAATACTTAAATGAGGCATTCATTCCTACGTTTAGAATCAGAACAGACAGAATAGGTGACTGTGGTTACCTTAGTCCTAGTTAAGATATACAGTAAGTGTGATTAACGTTAAGTTTGATACGATAGTTATTTGTAAATATTATTTGTGCACTAACGATTACAATAAGTTGGTGTTTATTATTATGTTAAATTAAAGTTATCCGTTTCTAATAGAGACGTATACAAGAATTTTATTACTAAATTGCAATATAGTATAGTATTCATGCTGTTTTATAGTTGAATACATAGTTGATTACATGCATAGATGTTTCTTTTTATTTTTATCTTGTGCGTGGTAATTGTCCTACCATTTTTGTCAATGAAAGAGAAAGAAATATTGAATTTATTACATGCCAGTAATTTTATTCTTATTTTGAATTAAAGTGGCGACTAAATAGAAGCGGTATTTTTTTAAATGGTTAATTCTAGTTTCCTTTAAATAAACTGTACCGTAATTTTGTCGTCCACCACTTTAAAGTCTTCTGTTTTATTTAGATTATTAAAGCTTATAAGGGAGGGGAGGAGAATTACGTTTTTCTTAAAATCATTGCCATTAAATAATTAACTTTATTTGCTAATTATTACGATTCTGAAAACGAATTGGCGTTTATTTTATTGATGTTGCTTATTATTTTTTAAATAATTGTATTATGAGAAAATTGAAATGTTACGAATAATTCACCAATATATGACATTTCTGTGAAATAAATGATTGGAAAGTGAATACATGTTGTGTTTTATTGTAACTTAGCGCCATTCTTTTTTATTTTTCAGTTTCAGAGGTATCGTTAGCGTCATTTTGAATTAACCTTTAAAAGTTAAAAGTAAAAAAAATACTACATACCTCTTCATCTTAAATAAAGAAGTAGGTAGTATTTTTTTACGAATCATTACTACAAGTTCTATGTAACTTTGTATCATTTTAAAAAATTTTTCACCTACATAGATAATACAATAATCAGATTAAGTAAAATTTTCCATTTTTTTGTCTGTAGTTCCAAGTTACAGTTAACCTTACGGAAGATGACAAATTTCACGAGAGCTAAGTGAACCAGCGCTCTCTATTATTTTGCAAATTCTACTACCTGTTATCGCTATTGAGGATACATATTCTATGATCGGAAGCCTGCGGTAAGTTTGTTTTAAAAATTACAGGATACAGATACCTCATTTGTAGGTGACAAGGGACGAGGTATCTTTAAACTATCATTTTATTTTGTGTTTTCTCGATGGTCGGAAAAGTTGTGGTTGATTCAGTCTTTTATTTGCGTTTGGTTTCATGATTGTATCTAATAAGATGTAATCAAGAAACATAACAACACCTAATAAGGTGTCGTAGTGATTTAAAATTCAGCTGGAGAAATAGCAATTTTTATGAAAAGGTTGTCCTTTCGCGATAATTCTTCATTATTGTGTTTCAGATTACTATTTTCCAACGTTAATATTTAAATATCCTCATGAGTATGAGCAGTCGAGAAGTTGATTCATCTATTCTATCCTGCAACGATTTTATTTGAGTGTTGTCTTCATCTATCGACATTTATTTTCTGGCCTGGTATACTATTTGTTGTGCAGTTTCAATTTTGAGACGTGTAATTAGTATCATCATTTTCAGACTTATCTAAGAAATAGAAATTCATATTTGTAGATTCACAACACTCAACACACAACGTCTGTGTTGAGGGTTGTGAATTCACGAGTTCACATTAATATTAAGGTCTTGCAACACTATAATAAACTTGTAACCCTGATTGTATTTTATTTTTACTACTCATTACTAGATGGCGCTGTTATGAAATTATTTCGAAATCGTTCGAATAAATAACGGTAAAATGGGGTGAATAGGGTTTGAGCAGTGAAAAGGGACAGAAGAGGGGTGAATCGATACTATGAAGAATTTCCTTATATCTATTCACCCCTCTTCTGTCCCTATTCACCTCTCGATCCCAATGATCTGTACCTATGATGTTTCTTTGTATTCTTGAATTTCGAGTTGCACTATTTTATATGGCAATAGGCTCACCCCCTATTAAATGGGACTCATAACATAAATAGGGAAAAGTGGGTGTTACATTGTACAGTGGCATAATGCGCACCTCTGCTAATCCCTTTGGGGATAAAACTATAAAAGCCGTGATGTTAAGTTAGGTATGCTATTTTATAGTCTTCAGGCAAAGAGTATAATAAGTATAGATAGGGGAATCTTTAGGTCACTTTGTTGACCGTTTTATAAATGACAGTAATAATTAGAAAATACCTCGTTATAATTAATTATGAAAATACAGCCAATATCATTAGGTAGGTACTTCTTTAACCCCTCGAGCGTCCTTATGAGCACCCGGTGGATCATAAGAAAAAATGCTCCAAATGTCACGTGTGCACCCGTTGGATCATAAGGAACGCGGACGCTCGACGGGTTAAAGATTGACATCATAGTTATTATTATATTACTGCAGACTCCCTCAGTAACACTACCGTAGCTAGTCCGTATGTGCAGTTTTCCTTTACTTATACCTAGTACGTTTCTAAATGTGCAAAAAACTATTTTAATTAACGAGTTTAAACACGGACCACGGTAAAAGTATTGTTCACTGTAAAATGTATATTTTTTTACTATCTCGATTTACCTATTGACTGTTATTACGATACCTAACGCAAAACATCGCAGAAAAAATAATAAGCTATTATATAAAATAATAATAATAAAAAAACAATTAATCCAAGTTTAATAAAATGGCGTCAATAGTTACACTGCCGTACTTTGCTGATTCTGATCATAGGTATACTGTATACACCTTTTTCCCTTTAAAACACCCTTAACTTCCAAGTTGGTACTAATCTATTCGCCCAATTTATTTTGCGACATAAACATATCAAAGAACTCGAACTCGCAGCTACTGATAAGAAGACCAAAATTATACGCA